CCTTCTTAATGTGACACACATAATGACCAGTCATTGTTGAGGTACCCATATGACTGATGAATGCTAATAGACTGTACTCAAAGAGAGAGTGGAGCAGGTTTCTTCACAGGATATTTTTATTTTACATTCGAGTTGCAACTGTTTTAAATACTGATGTACATGTACTTGACTAGATAAATTCTCCAATCAACCAAGTGCTGTTAAGTGGGTAGCATATTTTAATGCACAATTTGGGTGGAAGAGTTTAGGTGGTGAATGATGATTATTCTCTGATGATATTGCATAACTAGACAATGGACTTAATGGACTAGCAAGAGCACAGGCAGATTTAGTATATATGATAGAAGGAATAAAAATTAATGGGAATGAGGATTACATGTAGGGTTCAAATGTAAAGCTATTAAAAGATCAACTCACTTCCAGTCCCATCACTGAACTGTTCGTCCTCCATTGGTTTACCTTCTTCCAATTGTTGTAGTTAGTTCATCCATATGACTGAACACTCAATCAGCAGCTCTCTCTATAATATTATCCTATTAATAATAAAGAGAAGAGTCAGTCATGTATATTTAAAAATTGTAACTGTAATGATTGCATATTTGCTTAAAAATATAAAAATATTTCAAGCCATGGTTAATTTTTGTTGCATAAACTGATATGCTATTTATATTATCATTAATTGACTCACTATAGCTTTCAAAGCTTTCATAGCCTGTTCCCTAGTGAAACCCAGTGACATTACAACAGCAATAGAGCCCTCACTAGCCAGACCTCCTTTATCAGCCCAACCCACTCCAAACTTGACACCACCAGGAGGCCTGTAAAATCTAAAAATAATAAAATAGTAAAAGTATTGGTCTACTGGTAAAGGTACGCACCTGGGTCTCTCATGTGTTCCAGTACCCAGTTCATGGCAGTACCAGTGTATGAGGGTATGAGAACCTGCCTTGGTTCTTAGTGCAGAATACAGCTCTCTTGTAGCCCTCAATTTCAAATCCCATTCGGCTAACTGTGACAATACACCTTCACCAATTTCAACTATAAACACAACAAAAGTTATTCATCATACAAAATCTTTGAAATTGAATTGAGTGTGTTCTATTACATACCTTGAGGTTGTGCTGGTCCAGTTTCTTCTGGTAGTTCAACTTCTCCTGGTTGTACACCTCTCCTTTTAGACTGGATATATCAAGAGACTCAGGGACATTAACTTCAACATCTAATGAGAAAGAGAGAGAGAGGGGGAAGGTGAGGAAAAAGAAATGTACTTACCAAATTTGACTGGACCCAATTATCATCAAAACCAGCTGTACAACAAGGTACACAATATACTTGAGAAGTGTCTTAAAACAATAAATCCTAAAAACCAAATTTTGCTAGCTGTACAACAAGGTACACAATGTACTTGGGAAGTGTCTTAAAACAATAAATCCTAAAAATAAGAACAAAATTATTTAAAAATAATAATAATAAATAAAAGTACTTGTACCTGGTTGCTGGTGATTTTGTTTTAAGCTCAGTCAAATAAAAGTCAGAAATATCAGTAGATGATGAATGCCTCCCAAGACAAGACAAGAAAGAGACTTTAGCTCTCATTGCCTTCTTGTGATTACTAGAATATGCACACAAAAATAATTGCAATAATTTTTTGTTAGCATTTTCTAACATTTTCTTTTTCTCAGCCAGTAATTGTGC